TCCTTTATGCTCCACCAGCTCCAACTTTTAACCAATAGATCTTGGCACGGGCTCAAGTTAAGCCGGTAAGGAAAAGAAAAGCAGTTCTAACGTTTTATCTTGGGGGTTCAGAATCTATCTATCTTCTAAGCAGTTCTATCTTGGGGGTTCAGAAGGTGTCCCTAACAAAACTCCTGGTTTTAAATCAGCCATAACCTTAGTAAATTAATCTCATTCAGTCAGACATCTTCATGCCTACAATATTCTGAGAGAGAACGTTTTAAAATCATGTTTGACAATTCATTTCATCCAACTGAGCTGGATGGAGATGTTCAGGAATAAACAGATATTTGTTTTACAATCCTGCAGCGTCCTTTTCCAAGAAGCCTGATTAATAGCTTTGAAATAGCATTTGCTGAAATCCCAGAGACAGTAAACAGCTTTGAAAGAGTAATCTTTTAAACTGATGGGAATAAGTAACGGTGCATGGGCAGATGATCATTTCCACAAAACCCAAGCCTGTGTTCAACTAGGTGAATTTCCAAGCGGCTGCCAAACAGGCCATGGTGACAGCTAATCCGAATCTGGAGTTTGAAACTCTGAGCAGGGAAAAATCCATATGCAGAATCCCTAGTTTTCATCACGTTGGGAACAATCCACGTGAACCATGTAGAAGAAGGTGGAGAACAAGCCTGGAGACCTTTCAAAGCACAGTACAAAACAACACTGGGGACCCTCTGCAGAGGCTAAAAATATAATGGCTGGCGAAGGTTTTTCAGAAGAGGACTTGACACGTTAGAAAGTGCAAATGCTCGGAAAACGCCGGAGCTAAGGCAAAAATGGGCCAGGGAAAGGGGTTTTGGTTTTCATTATTTGAGCACAGCGAAGATTTGCTATAGCTATTATAAAGGTCCTTGTACAGCTGGTTTAAAAGTCAGGGCAAAGTTCTGTGGTGTTTTTTTTTTTTCTGAGAAAAAAGCAGCTTACCTTTTGGTGTGGAAACGTAGACTGGATCATGGCAGTTTCAAAACTGTGCATCCCCTTGAGCTGCGTCTTCTCCCACAGGGCCTTAAGGACTTGCACAGAATTACTCTGTATGGACAAAGGTTCTGCAAACAGGCTCTGAAGAAAATGTTGAAAACAGGGTTTCAAGCGTTTTTTACTTGGCCATTAACAAAGAGCATCTTGTTCTTACAGTGGGACGGCCATGGGGTTAGCTCGTTCCTCTGTAAGGAGTTAGGATGGATCAATGTGCACACAATTAGATAAAATCTCAAATATTTCATTTTCTTTGGGGCTTTTTTTCTTGTACTTGACATGTTCTTCAAGGTGTGGCTCACTACAGGTTACCTGTCAGCTACTTCTACACATAGCCAACCGGCACGGCGTTTTGGTACTGAAATGGCAGTTTGTCACAATATTAGCAGCACTGGCCTCTGCGAACCACGTGTTGATCTCAGTGACACGTCTTTTTTGGAAAAAAAAGAGGAGGAAGAGCTGCTCAGCACTGCTGCAGGATTCCATACATCTATTTGGACTGCAGCTCTTAGTCCTCGTGCGGGGAAGAGCAACAGCGCGATGTTGGCCACTGCACCCAACAGGCAGTGGGATGAAACCGCAAGAGAAAAAAAACTCCACGGAACACGTTCAACACAGATCGTGCTCACAGAGTACAGGAGCTTTTAACCCCTGAACATTCACAAAACAAGACGAAACCTGCGGTGGGTTGGGTGCTCTCACCTCCAAAGCTCCCTGTCTCCAAGGACAGCAAGGATAGAACCTTACGCTGCTCTGAATTACCCTCGTATTTCAGAGTACTTCATTTTATAAACTGCACGCAAAGTCAACGCCACAAGAACACTCTGGGGCCACGAGAGCTTCGTGTTTCTGCCTCTACTACATCCACCAACATCATCTTGTAATTAAAACACGCGTTTGCACGCGGGAGCCAAGTTCAGCGCGCGCCAGGAGATGCGATCGTCCGTATTTCAAGTATTTGATTTCGCAATATTAACGATGTCCTTTCAACATAAGTTTCCTGGATGGACATTCCTCCTCCTCTTTCTAAGCAGAAACCCACGGGTCCTAATCCCGCTGTCTGGCCTCCAACTGACACAGCCACGCTGCAGTAAGACACAAGCAGGAATTTTTATCGTGGCTGAGGCAATGCATTTTTTCCAGCTAAGCTGTCAGAAACAGACGGATCTTTTCGTCCAAATGAAAAGGGAGAAGCCGTCAGCTCCAGGCAGCCACCTGGCACGAGAAAACGGCACCCCAGTTAGGTCAGGTTTGGGAAATTTAGGAGTGATCCCAGGGAAGGTGTTGGAAGGGGACGTGTCAGGCAGCCCCTCGCTCGCTGGTGCTACCGCAGCGGCCTGACACCGTCCCACCTGCCATGGGAAATTAAACCATCAATCATACAGCATTAGAGGATTCTTTTAATGAATGAATCCATGAAACTAAGCATCCTGTCTATCAAATAACCTCTCTAACCACCCCTTATTCTAATTTTCTTCCTTTTGTTAACCATCGCTTAACCGTAAGACAATTTCTCTGACATCGGCTTCTCTTCTTACTGCCCTGCACTAATAATTTGCCATTTCACTACTCCCATCTAAAATATGATGCAACTATTCACTAATGTTTTTAAAATGACATAGAAAGCAGGGTCATGAAGTTAAGGATCTGTTCTGGAGACCTGAGAGAAAAAGCTTCTCTTGCTTTTACTTTTGCAGAACGCAATATCAAGCAGAATATGGAGCTGCTGGCAAAAAAGGAATAAAAACACAGTAACTAGTATTGAAATCTTCAGAAACCATATATTAGTTGTCTCTCTGTGAATCTGAGAGATCTGCAGAATACCTACATTTTTACCACCAGCCTTTCATTTAACTCGTTATTAACACACTAGAAATACATTTTATGTCAAACCTCCCTCTTGTATAATTTCACAGGCTTAAATAACGTTATCCCAGGGCTGAATTTAGTGCCTTGTATTTAATTTAAGAATAGTTATATATCTAATGCTTAAAAGCGTTAGGACTCTGAACAAAACAAAAACATAAATTATCTGACATTAAGCACCACCCTGACGCGCAGCAGGCACAAACGCTCTGTGCAACACAAGAGGAATCATTTTTTTCCATTAAAAAAGCAAATAAAATGCTGTGTTTATGGCGTGTTTGCAAGGACACAAACTGAACTGCATTGCATCGAGCCTGGCCCTGGCAGCACGGGGGGATTCTGCTGGGGGGTCCTTGGCACGGGAGCGCGGGGCCAGGGGTGGCACTGGCACAGTCGGAGCAAACAAGACTGTGGGGAATAAAAGCAAAGCTTTGGAAAACGGGTGGACCAGTGTTTGGGGGCAGCGTCTGAAGGAAGCAGGACCCAGCAGGGGCACGTGGGGATGGGGAAGGGCAATCATATTACCCCTGTGAGCTGGGAACTATGGGAAGCTCCATAGTCCCGATAAAAGATGGAACTGGCAGGGCCAAACTCAGAGTAACCTGGGAAAGGGTTAAAGGGAGAGGTTTTTCGATGAGAAATGCATCAGGAAAAGGGGAGGCACCAAGGATTAAAGGTTAAATTGTCGGTGCAACTGATTAAAAACACAAAGCACAGCCAGAGCAGAGGCCACCGTGTCGGAACGCAGCGGCACGGCCGGCGCGGGCTGCGGGGCAGGGAGCGAGGTGTGCCCGCTCTGCCACCCCCCTCCTCTGCTTCTGCTCCTCCTTTCTCATTTTTCTGTGGTTTAGGACTTTGTCCGTACTTTTCAACATCTGTTTTTCCTCTCATCAGGAATAAAATGATAAATTCGTAACATAACTCATTTATTCTCCCTAGGTCCTGTTAAAATTCAACCTCTTTCTTCGGGTTTTCATCTACGGAGTAACTCACCTCCTTTATTTTCAACCTTTCTAACCCTTGTTTCTGCCTCCTCTGCTCTTTGCTTTCTTTTCCCTGCTCCGTCACTGTCCTCTCCTCAATGTCCAAAGAGCATTTTTGGAAAACATTTTTTGTATTTATTTCTAGGAGCAAGCACAGGGAAGAGGGATTTGAGCCGTTAAAATTTGCGGCATAACTCGCCGTGCGTGTTTCAAAAATTTCAGATAAATCCTTTGTATTTCTAAGGTTGCATTAGGGTGAGATGAACCGTGGTAAACGGCTCTACGTAGGTTAAGAAACTGAACCTTACTATTTTAACACAAAACCCATCTGTTTCATCTTGAAGTGTGAACGTAGGGTTTTCTCTTACAATTTCATCCTATTTGTAACCTATTAGGAAATTCCACATATGTCCAAAGACTGGGCTGTATTTGGAAATCGGATTAAACATGCGAAAATTGCTTTAGGGTTGGTAGGAGAACAGCACTGATCAGATTTGCAAATCTTGCTCAGTCAAAACTTCTGCAGTAAAAAAATCCTGGTGGGTGCTGCACTGCCAGCCTCGGGGTTGATCCCGCTCCCTTGCAAACCCACTGCAATTCTGTTTGTCTGCAAGACACCTGGGACTTACTGGAAGTTTTGCCTGAATAACAACAATCAGGTTTAGTTCCACTTTTTTTTTTATCCCCAGACTTTGTAATCTCTCCAGGCAATTGTTGCATTTAATAGAAATCTAAAAACTTACAAACTGCAAAATCACTTCGACCTACTATAAATGACTTTCTGAGAAATCACGAGGGTCACAAAGCACTGTGGATTAGAAGCACATTTAAAGAGATTAACCATTAAGATGCTTTTTCCAAGTACAAAGTACAAGCCACCAGCTCGTGTTGCACAGACCTGCTGAAAGAGGAACATGATGTGGATCCACAGCGGAGGCTGCCGGCTGATGAGGGTAAAACTGGATTTACTGTACAGGCAGTAATGGCCCTTCAGGGGACAGCTGAAGAACAGCTTTGCTACACAACTTCTGACAGAATCTAGAAATAAAGAGTCAGAATATTAAAATCAACTACACAAAAGACAGAAACCTAACTGTCCCTGACCAGTGCCCGGGCAGTGATGCGCTGCTGGGGTATCTTGCTCTGGGTCAACTCCCGCGGCGTTCAGAAGGGCATCGCTGTGTCTGCGCCCTTAAATTAAGCACAAACCATCTGATGATACTAGAGAAATTTAGTCTCCAGTGCTTAAATCCTACGTAATAATTGTTTACTCCCAAATGCAAAAGGTGCAGGGCAGCACAGTCCGGTTGATCACCCTCTCTGTGCCTTCTCGGGCATTCGGTACCGTCGTTCAGTTTATTGAACCAGACAGATCTGTCAAAACCATGGCTTATTCTTATTTAAAGAGTTTGTTGGAAAAAACATCCCATATTAGGAAACAGCCATATGGGGGCCTGACATCTGCGGGATCCTTGCAGAGACCTTGGGAGGGAGGAGGGCAGCGTGCGGCTGCCAGCCAGGAGCGGGTCCTGCAGCCGCTGGGCAAACCCTGGTCCTTCCCCTGCTCGCTGTTGATCCTCCAGCAGCCCAAAGATGCAGAAATCGATTTACCACACTACTGTGCATGCACTGTGCTTGCTGTTTCAGAAACAGCCACTGTTTCAAAGAGCATTAGTGAGTGTTCCTGGAGGGCTCTCAGCTGCAGCCCCTTCCCAGTCCACCCAGGAACTCCAGCCCTGGAGCTCAGGTCCATCTGAACCTGCTCTGGCTGCAGCCTGGCTTCGAGGGGCTCCAGGTCCTACAACCCTCACTCCTCATCAAACATATATAATACAAGTCTGCTGGTCGTACCCGATTTTGACACGCTGAGCCAAGGAGCTGCAGCTTTTGCAGCTGTTCGCCGAGCGGTACGACACACAAGGGGCAGGAGTCGTTGCTGCTGCCATGCTGCAAGGGACAGCGACCTGCTCAAATCAGCAAGCTCGTGCAAGGGCAACCACTGGCAGAGCCCATGGGCCACAGCTGCCAGCACAGCCACGGGCTTCGCAGCAAAATACACACGAAGAAGGAGAAGGCGTGGAGCTCCAGGTCCAACCGGACAAGAGAGTGCCAATGCGTTCACAGTTATCCACTGGGAAAGGTGGGATGTGTCTGTTCACAGCTGAGACTCAGTGTCACCCACTCAACACACAGGTTTTCTCCAAAAGTGCAGTTTGACTCAGTCCCAGCTCCAGGGCAGCATCCCTAGTTCTCACTGCTCTGTCCAATACCGACCGTTTACACCATCTCTGATCATGCCATCTGTTGAGGAAAGTCCTGCAGTGGTTAATGCAGGATGAAGGTGACCTTTGGGACCAGCCGCTCGGTGCAAAAGCAATATGCTACATAATGCCACCTGACTCTGAACTGACACACTGGCACCTGAATGCCAACTGACACCTTCCACTAGATCAACCTGATCTAGGCTGATCTCTCAAATCTTTAATTTGAGGCTTTGATAGCTTAAGGCCTCGCTGGCTTTAACTGGAAACGAAGCCCTTGAGATGCATGATTCTGCTTTTACAAAATACTGACCTTGAACCCTCGTTTTCTGTCTTCAGATGACTACTCATAATGATAACAGCATGTTAGGCACAACCTGATCAGCTGCTTCATTAACTTTAAATAGTGGCATCGTTTTAGAGGCCCTTTGACCAGGAACAAATGGCTATCCAAGGTAAAAAGGCATGGAAAACAAAAGACGGAGAGCCTTAGCCGATGACCTTGATGCAACCACAGGGGAGAGCTGCACTCTCTTCACCCAGCTGGAGACTTGAACTTGGAAGAGGAGGGGAACAACCAGTCCCACCAGCTGCTGTGCTTGTTTCCCAGCTAAAGGCAGAAGTGACAGACGGACACACAAGCCGCCCTGCGCTCGCAGCTCAGCCCACTCGACTGATCCATGCACAAAGCCACTCCGGTGGCCCCGTCCTGCCAGTACCTGCAAGGGCAGGGCCAAAGCACTCTCAAGAACATGCACGTGGGCTCCTGGGGAGCCGGCCAGCCAGGTCTCCCTGTGCAGCGGCCACAAAATGAATCACCCAGTTGAGAAGGCTGACAGGGGCCAGCTGCGCAGGGAGCATTACTCAGAGTCTCGTGCTGTCCTGGTGAGTCACCGTGCGGCGAAGGCATAGGAATAAAACACCGTAAGAAAATATCCTAAGTGGAAAAATGAGTTGTAACTTTTCAGAAAATGTGTCTAAAGGGAGATCATTTAAATAGCACTGTCTTACGGATCTACTGATGATGAGAGCCAGCAACAAGGAAGACTGATACCAGAAGGCAGCCTTTCTGTCCAACAACAGACCATCTTGAAATACTTGTTGTTTTTAACGTCTTTCATCTAATCAAGATGTGAAAGGGGAAGAGAGAAATGTAATAAATTCAATATTTCACATAAAACGATGATGTATGAGGAATGAGTTTTCCAGAAGTACAAAAAGACAGGTCCCTAGAGCAAAAGTATCAATGGTTCAGATTGTCACTGAAAACACAGAGAATTCAGAACTGGGATGTTGGAACCTGCCAAAGATGCTACAGAGAGGCCAGATGGCTGTTAGGCTGGGAGAAAAAACTTCAGAAGCTGGCGAGTGGAAAGCACTTTATTATCCTTTGACAAAGCTGTTTGAATTTGCTGAGAAAAGGAAGGCACCAGTGTCAAGCTGGGGCTGCAGAGCTCAGTGGGACTCCACTGTAGCACAGGAGAAGAGATCTGAGACGTAAAGGCACGGGAAGATTAAAGTTAGAGTTGACAAAAACCAGTAGAGCCACTACACGTACTGTGGGGAAACACACACGAGCCAAAGCAACGCCTAATATTTGGAAGCGAGCACGAGAACCAAACCAGATTGTAGCGACTGTAGAGCAAGGGGTGACGACAGCACTCCCTCCTCAGAGGAGCACTTACAGGCTATGATCAGCAACGTTATAACAGATGAATCTTGGATTATCTGGAAGCCAATGGGGTGTTCACTAATCTTTAATCATAGGCAGGTGCATAAGCCAACACGGGGCCAGAAGGAGCGATAGCGAAAGCAGAAGAAAAGCCCCAGGCACTCGGAGGTCAGAGAGCCAGACCAGGCGGTGAGCTCTCCTCCCAGAGAGGGAGTTCATGAACCACGTCAAAATGATGCTGAGCTGAACAGGACCACAAACATCATCCACATCACTCCTCTCTGAAGAAACAGGAGGAAGGACTTCAACCAGCTCCGGCTCTCCTAACCCATGGGTGGGCCAACAAGAAAACTCATCTATATTTGTCTCTAGAGAGTGCAGAGGACAACTTTGAAGATGTTTCCTTTGCTTTGAGACAGAGGTGGGAAGAGGAGCTGAAGCGGGGCCGCTGCTCTTGGCTTCACCAAACATATCAAAAAAAAAGAGGCACACTCATTGGTGTTAGGAAATATGGCACACTTTCCTCTTGTGTAGGCCTGAAGAAACGAATGTATTGCAGGAGAACGTTGCCTTGAAGAAGGGAAGAATCTGCATGGTAGTTTGATGACAAGCATTGGGCATTTTTAGGCTGCTCTTCAAAGACGACGATATTAATTTGTGCACATTGATGAAATGCTGTTGAATGTGGAAGAGCTGCTTGGGTCGTGTCAATTGCCTGAGCACTAAAATACTCTAAGATCTACAGTGGAACAGTATTACAAGCATGCATATGACCATAAACTTTCAGCAGTAGAAAGCCAGGGCTTAAAGTTATACCAACAAAGATGCAAATGCTACTAAACAATTCTGAAAAAACCCTAATTTAGCTGCAGATCAGAGATACATCATGTCCATAAGCAGCATGACCATCTTAGCAGGAAAATATGGGGCGTAAAATCCACTACTCTTGGATTAGTAGCTATGGGGAAAATTTGAGTTTAATCTAACTACTCGTGTTCATGTTGAATATAAAGAAGGAGTTTGAGAAACTGAAGGGGTTAATTAGAGCGACCCTAAGTCCTGGGACATATTAAAGCACAAAACTAAATGACGTCTCCAAGGAGCTGTTGACAGAATGCTCTTGCAATAGCATGGTCCAAACTAAAGACTCTTGGTTCATGCACCGCGGATGCTAACAAAGCCTTAACTTCAACACGCTCAACCAGAAATAGAGGCTTGGCCTTGGTCCATCTGTGTGAAAAGTTTAATGCTTCATTATGGGAAATCACTCTTTGCTAAAAGTGACCATAAACTACGTCCTGCCGCTGTGAAAAGGAGCTGGCACTCAGTGCCTGCCTCTCCGGTGAGCATGGTGGTTATTTTTCCAGTTACACACATATGAATTGACAAGAAAGCTGGGAGGCATTTAAAGGCTGCAGGCAAACATTGGAGAGCATTAAACAACCGTGCAAGGCAGCAGAGCCCAGAGCTGGATTTCTTGTCGCCCACCGTAGGTCGACACTAAGCTGGTAAAACCTGGGCAGTCTCCCACAGAAGTCCGAGGGTGGCAGAGCTCCAGGGTACCAGCCCCTGGTTAACAATTAAGAAAAGGATTGTGCTAGGTGGGATTGGGGTTGACAGGACTGTGAAGTAGGTTTTAAATGCTGCAGAGCAAAAAAATGGCAAAGGATATGTGGAGAGACACAGAAAACCTAACAAATTGCTTAGCAAGACGTTGTGGACGACATGGAGCAAAACACCGAGGCTGATAGCACATGCCAAAATAAATGTCAGCTCAAGCGCTGGAGCCCGTGCTGGCTGAACAAACAGTTAGTTCTGGAAAAAAGCAGCAATCACTTGTCAATACCAACTGAAAAAAGCCTCCTACTCAGACAATCTTCAAACCTTTGGTATGAAACGAGCGATTACTCATAGCTATATCTGCCACGCTTGATACGCTGAGTTTGGCAACGTCTGATAAGAAGCCAAAGTTTGCTACGTGTGTTTTTCTACGGTTTGCAATGAATTACCAGTTTTGACATATAACAGCTAATCTGTTATCCCAAAGTCACTGCAAAGTGGTATTTAAATAATAAACCTATTCTGATGAAGACTAAGGTGACCCT